AATATACACACATATATCAGCATAACAAAAAAAAACTTTAACCACTCAAACACTGTCAAAAAATGTTTAGAAATTAGTCAATTTTTAAAGCGTATTTTGTATTTTCCAGGCATGTAGGTCAATTCTATACCATAATGAAGTAACTATGTCACCTTCAGTAGTTATGGAAATGCTATATATATCAAAAATAAATTGGACTTTGCATAATAGCTGTATTTAAATGCCTTAAAATTCTGCCTTCTACCATTTCGGACACTCCCACTTCAGCATTTTCACAACAACTCTTCATATCATTTACTACCTTTGTATTTTGTTATATTAAAAAAAGAATCAACATTATATAATATTGGTTTTTGGAAAATGACAACTCAGGATACAGTTGAACCTAACTTAAACGATCCCACGTAGGACTCGGAAAGTATGTTTTTGTTACAAGATGTTGCGTTTCCTCAATGAAGGCATGTTTTAATCTGAAAAGTAATTTGGGGAATAGTTGGTATCACAAGCTCAACAGACAGGCAGATCCAGAGATGTTTGCTAATATCTGCTGCTGCAGAGCTGTGTGGGGGAGGCGCAGGGGAGGGGTGCTCTGTGGGAGGGAGGGGCTTTGTACCAGCGGACGTTTAGGCGGGAAAATTAAAGGATTTCTCAAACATGAGTGAATGAGTCAAAGCAACACGCTGGGTTCTGATGAGGGAATGACGTTATAACAAAAGCCAGTTTTGCATAATATACCCCCGACCCCCCTTTAAAAATATGATTTTTTAAAAAAGGCTCTGGCACAAAATGTGGCAGGCAATTCCTTTAAAGAGTTGCCGACCCTTGATTTATTTATTTATTTATTTGTCATTGTGACTTGATTACATGAGTACATTATCCACAAAAAGACTTTTACCATTTTATAGATGCAACTATKAAAAAAAAAGAAGTTTTCCATTAAAAGTTCGACTTGATGTAAACAGAGCCACAAGTTAAAGCGTATTATATCTATTTCCTCCGTCCTTCTCCTCACCCTGCGACTGTTATTTTTCAACAGTAGTTCAGAGTCCGACATGGAGGAGGAGGACGAGCAGGAGGAGGCGGAGGTAGAGGAGCAGCTCCCCAGCCCCTCCGACCTCGGTGGYGTTCCCTGGAAGGAGGCGGTGGAGCTCCACGCCAAGCTGCGAGGCGACCACGACGGGGAGGCAGAGGGCGAAGCTCTGGACGACGCCGCCAGCAGGGACGGAGATCTGGAGGAAGACGAAGAAGAGGAAGAGGAGGATGAGGAGGAAGATGAGGACGAAGAAGACGAAGAAGATGATGAAGAATCTAGTGAAGGTGAGTTTGCTTTATGTTGTTTGTGCGGCTGGTTGTTGTGAGTTTTCCTCTGTTGTTTTAATGTTTCTTTACATCCTGTCCAGATTTCATCCCCTTGTTGAAGTGATCCACGATTACTTGTAACATTAGACTTTATTTGATAAACATTTATTTTAACTCTTTTTTTGTCACTTCAGTAGAAAACGAAACCAAATATTATTAGGTTATTTAGTTTATTTATTTTTTCATCATCAGTGACTTTTTTTTAAAGTGAAGAGAAAATAGAGAAAGAGAGAAAAACAGAGAGAGAAGTTATTAGAACGATTGAAATAGCGATTAGAAGTATATTAAATATACACCAAGAAAACACAGGACCACACACCCACGTTTATTTTAACTATAAAATAAAGTCAGTAAAAATACTGTTTAGTTTTTAGTTTAGTTGACAAAGAGAAGGAGAAGGTAGAAACAACTCAGTCTGCAACTGAAAATGTGGATGGAGACAACAGAGCTGCTTCATGGATGGAGAACCTCAGCTTAGCCTGTTAGCTTTTGCGCTAGCGCCGACGCTATATCGCCTTAAGTATGTATTAGCTCGGTGCTAGCGCAGAAACTAACAGGTAAATTTGAGGTCCTCCATCCACATGACAGAGAGGAGAAGGTAGAAATGACTCAGCCTGCAAATGAAAATGTGGATGCAGGACCTCAGTTTAGCTTGTTAGCTAGCGCCGAGCTAATACAATTATGGCTGTGTCCAAAACGGCAGGACGGGTCCTCCGGAGGACCCAGACTCCCCGGTCTCGGCAGGCCGGGTCCTTGGTAGACCGGGAAGACCGGAAAAAAGAGGCTGTGGATTTGGACGGTCTAGCCTCCCCTCCTTACCTCGGTGTACGTCTTGTCACCTAGCAACTGTGACGACGCTAAACAAGCAAACTTAAATCAAAACTAGAAAAATATCAATACATTAGCATTATTAATATCACAAAACTATAAAATTAACTTAAAAGTATCATTTGAAGAACTAATTGACCCACTGTAGGTGCATGTTTATTTCGCGTTTTTTATGACGAAAAAATAATATTTAAAAACATGTCCATACAAATGATAAAAGTATTAGAATTACAACCGCTAATTTTTTTTAATTTTTAAATCACCATATTTTTATTTAAAATGTATTCTTTTCTCTCGCTTCGTCCGCCATTACTAGCTTAAAAAAATCTCCGGTCGGGCCGCAATGCATTATGGGATATGCTGGGCCGGGAAGGATCCATCGGACCAGTCCTTCGATTCGGAGGAGTCTTCCGTTTTGGACGTCCTTCGTCGCGGCGCTGTGACGTATGCGGCCGACAAATACGACCTTCGGAGGACCCGTCCTGCCGTTTTGGACACAGCCTATGTATGGCGATATAGCATCAGCGCTAACGTGAAAGCTAACAGGCTAAACTGAGGTTCAGCTTGTGACCTAGTCTACGTCATCATTTACCTGGTATGCTTTGTGGKGTCAATAAAATGGATCTGTCTGTGTGACAATATATTTTTAAAGGTTTTATAAAAACTAAACAGCCGTCAGTATTTTTACAGACTTTATTTATCAAATAAAGTCTAATGTTACAAGTAATTGTGGATCCCTTTAAGACGGTTCATATGTCCACCTGCTGTTTGTCAGAATTAGTGTTACGTTTTGTCGTTGTTCTCTTCATCTTCTGTGTCTTTCTTCCTCTTCTCCATTATCCCCTCCTCCATCCTCATACTCTATATGTATTTGTATTTTTGGGTTTGTCTCTCCTTGCTGTCAGAGGGGGATTACTGCCCCTGGGATAAAGAGCTCCAGTCAGGCCTGTGGCTGGAGAAGTGTCTTACAGATGAAGAAGATGTTGGTACATTTAAAGGTAGCAACAGACCTGCCTGCAGTAAACCTTCAACATAGTTTCTTTCAGTGTGGCTGAGTTTCTACAATAAGAGTTTGTTTTTGCTTTTTCTTGTTTTTTTTTTTAAATTTTTTTGTGTGTTTTGGTTTGTTGGTTGCAGTTGTGTTTTGAAGGGATTATGCATACATGAGTGTTTTTTTTTTTTGTGTGTACTGAAAGTCATCTAACCTGCTTATTATTAAACCTTGTTTTAGGAAAGGCCTTGAGATACTAATCTAAAAAWTTTTTACAGATTTATTTTGGTTTTCCTCCCTCCAAGGTATTTCCGTTATGATTTTACTGAGTGCCAGCTTTGCTGTGTTCAAGAAGTTATTTCTTTCTTTAGCTTGAAGCTAGTTTTTCATGGTTTATTTTTATTTTTTTGCAGTGTGTAAATGCATGCAGACTTCCTTCAGCTTCCCACTGATAGTTTCTCTGTTTTATTTTCTTCTTTCTTGTTTCCTCGTCTTCTTCTTTTTCTTTCTTCTCACCTTTCCACGCCTACTTGCACACGCTTTACCTCACTGTTCTCATTCGAACCACAAAACTCCACCGCACCTGACAACCGTGACACACTTCTAGCCAGGAACATACACATCCAACAAGTCCTGCAGCCGGTGGATCCCAGCGTCATTCCAGGTTTGACGAGACCACGCCTGGACTCTGAGGGAGACGAGGACGGCCCGTTGGCCCCGCCCCTCCAACCCTCGCAGCCCTCTGAGCTCACACAGCCCTCCTCCACAGGTAACCCCACCCAGAGGTGCTGCGTACGAGGGACAACTCGGGGGGCCTCGTCGTGTTGAGGATCTGATTTCATCGTTGCGGTCGCTGCTGTTCTGTTTGTCTCCCAACTAACTTCCCTTTTTTTTGAAACGTTTTTGTTTTATCCTTGGAATGTCTAATTTTRTGTTCAGCTTTTTTCATTTTCATCCAGTTTGTTCCTCTGGAGTTAAATAAAATATTCTTCAGCCATGACCCAGAGCATCTTATAACCCTCTTTGTCAGTTATTTTGAATTTTATTCTGTTGTGTTCYGCTGTTTTGTTTCTCCCATGTGTCTAATTGCTTTACTGTCATTTCCCTGCCATCTTTTTTTTGTTGTTCTTCTGTATCTTCTGGTGTGAGAGTAGCCCCTGCCCACACATCCACCCGTCATGACGCAGTGAGAGTCTGGTTGGAGTCCTTGTCTGGAGGTAGCACAGACCTAAATGGGATCCTGACATCCCGTCTCAGACTTGCCTTTCTCTATGGGCTGGCCTTTCTTCCTGAAGCACGCAGAGAGCAGCCAACTCACAAGCATGATTGCTGTCAGGCTTTCTGATGTCCGGCGATCAGATCCTCCTTTTTGTTTCTCCTTTCACAAACTTCTCATTCCACCCACTGATTTTTCAGAAACATTGTTTCTCTGCTCATAAACTGCTAAYGGAACCACATTTTACAAAATGAGCTATAAAGGCTTAAAAACACTTTCAATCAGCATCACATAATTGTGACTACAGTTATGAACTGAAACATATTTGCATTAAGTGAAGCGTGCAAAGTTGTTAAAGTGCTTTATTAAATGTTTAAAAGCTTGAATGAGTGAAAGAATCGTCCTTCACATGTATTCATGCACAGATCCTGAGTTCTGGGATAAAAGCTTATTAAATATGTTTAATCCAGATCAGACTCAATAGAGTCAGATTTTATTTACTGTCCATCACCACAAGCAAAGACCCACTGGGTGTTTTTTTTTTTTTTAAATCATAGGCAATAGATAAAAAAAATGCATGAACTATTTTGTTATGTCTTCATTCAGGTTTATTTGGAGAAAAACTATTCTCAATATAAAATGTTGCTTTCTGGCTGCCATTAAAAAGAAGTCAATAACGTTTTGCTTTTGCTTGGATCATATATATAATCCATTTTTCATTTAAAAATGGACAGCTGCATGCATCACTTTACTAATATTAGTTTGACTCGTCTTTTTTTCCATAGTAATAACAGATTATTAAAGTTTGATTTTTCCACAAAGCATTTTCTTTGCCAGATACTTTTCTCACTGCTTTTTAAAATAAAATGGATTTGAGTTTGAAGTCCTTCCACGCTTTTTCAGTTATTATTTCTGCRCCCCCCCATTCTTCCCAAAAAGGTTTTGATAACTTTGGAGCCTACAGCCAGAATGCTGGAAAAAAWTCATTCAAGCTGTTAGGCTGTCAGAGAATTAAAAAAAAGCTCTCATCCTATCATTGACTAAAGGCAGATTGTGATAGCCAAATTACTTATTTCTCCCTGTTTTTTTTATCTCTTTCCAGAACTCTGTGAAGATGAAGACCTGGAGGCTGAAGCAGGCAGTCCAGATATGGAGCCTGGGACTGAGTTGGATCAGGGTAAACAGTCGAAAAAAAAACCCCACAATTACAACTTTTGCAAAAACGCAGCRTGAAAACTGAATGCTAAATGATTTAGCTGAAATTTGAGTTGTCAGTTGAATTGGTAACAATAAAATAGGTGAACTGACGCTAAAACCAGGTAAACTGTAAGGAAAAGCTGAAATTAGCAAAACTGTTTCTAAAAGGTTAAGTTAACGAATGTATACCTAAAAGCAAATATTAACAAAATCATAGCTGAAAGCTTAATTTACCACATGGTAGCTTAAAGCTCAAACTTTATAAACCATAGCTAAAAGCTACAATTAGCAAAACAGTAACTAAAAACTAAAGCTAACATCACTGTAGCTAAAAGCTAATGTTAGCGAGACTACAAGCTGAAAGAAGCATAAGGAGACAAATCTTTATCAACTGTGCTAATTAGATTTTAGGGAACAATGTTTTGAATGAAAATGTATTTTTATAGGGACAGTTTTAGTAAATAAAGTTAAATATTTCCAAAAAGTATTAAAGTAACAAACACTAAAAGTCATATATCAGTATTCCTGATTAATTTTGATGTCTAGAACAGAGGTTCTCAAACTGGGGTCCCAGGACCCCCAGGGGCCCACAAGCCCAATCTTGGGGGTCCTCAAAAATTTTCAATAAATGCTTATTTTGGATTTTATTTGAAAAATGAACATGAGGAACAATACACTAGTAAAACAAACATACTAAACCAAASAAAAGCATAATATCCTCATAATATTTAGGGGTTAAAATGACAGTAAATTATTTCTAAAACAGCATGCGGTTTCTGAGGGGGTCCCTGGAAACGTTTCACACTTGTAAGGGGTCCTCAGACCCAAAAGGTTTGAGAACCCCTGGTCTAGAATATCAGAATGTATGTTTTTTATTGCATGAATATAAAGGAATAAATTAAAAACATGCGGAAAATGTGTTTATATTGAATCAGTATTTACATAATAATCTTTTTTCCTGCATATGAAAAGATCCTCTACCTCCTCTTCCAGACTTGCCAAACATCTCGATAAATCAAAAATTTGTTAATGTTTTTTATAGTGTCTTTTACAGTTGTAAATACAGAGTATCCGTTAGATCAAATTAAACAGAGCAGCACATTATTCTGTGTTGACCTCGCTGCTCACATGTGACCCTTTGTGTTTTATGCTTTACTGCAGACGACATCCCTTCAGATGCAGAAGCTGAGGCTCGTTTGCATCAGTCAGAGTTAACTGAAGCTCCTGTTCACGAAAACAGAGGAGAAGAAAGTGAGGGGATGGCCTCCAGTGTTGGTACTTTATCAAAACTATTCTTTCAAAATGAAATCTGTTTAATGGGTTTTTGCACAAGTCGTAATCAGTCCCATTTTTGTTGCATGTTCAGACCTGTCGAGCAGTGGCCCGGTGCTGGAGGAAGATATTCTTTCTCCTCTCAAACCATCCCCAGATCCTAAAACAGATGTGAGCTAATTCTACACCTGAGTTTAAACCATGTAATTTACAATGAATGGTTCCTAAATTTGACTTATTTTCAGGTGACTCCGGTGAAGTCTCCTGGCATCCGCTTTTTCACAGATCCGTTCCTCCCTGATAAAGCAACGCCTGAGAAGACAAGCGTGTCCCCACCAGTCAGGAGCCCACTGAGCCCGTCACCAGCACCCTCTCCGCTTTCTGCTTCTGCCTCTTCACCTACTCTTACTGTCCCAGCCTCCCCTTCTTCCCCGGTGAAGCCAGCCTGCAAATCGTCTGTCAAATCCCCCGTCAAGTCGTCGCCCACCTCACCGATCCGCTCTCAGCCCGTCCCACTGCCAGAGACTCGCACACCCAAATCACCAGTCTACCCTCACCGCTCCATCTGTCCTCTCACGGGAAACCCCCTTTCTCCGATCTGCGCCCAGCCTCTGCCCTGCCACGAGCCCTCGTCACCCCTCACTTCCGACTCCCCCGTCAGAACTCAGCCGGTCCCTGCGGTCACTTCCACACCCGTGGCTAAAACAGACAAGGCCATAAGTGAGCCTTCCAAGTCTTCAGATTCCTCAGTGGAAGAGAATACGTCTAAAAAGGCAGATATAATTGAGGAGTTTTGGTTAAAGAGTGCCGAGATAAGGAAGAGCCTTGGTTTGTCTCCTTTAGACCGCAGCAGTAAGATCCTGGAGAAGAGTCCAAAGGAGGAGCCCACCCCTGCTAAGACACAGTCACCAGGTGTGTCTCAGGAACAGAAACCCGCTTTTGCCGGCCGCACCGTCATTCGCCGACTGAACATCACGCTCGAGGGTCAAGTCATTACTCCCATTGCTCCTGCAGAGGCCAAGAGCGATGGCTTGGATATTAGGGATGTCAGCAGCAGCTCGGGTTTGGGACTGAACGGCAGCACGGCCACGAGCCAAACGGTGAACAGCGACAGCTACAACACGTCGGACTCCACCATGCTCACCCCACCCTCCAGTCCGCCGCCACCCGTGCCCGCCAATCAGTCTCCAGCTGTGCTCAGGCAGCAGAGGCACCAAGTCTCCTGGAGCAACGGAGCGGGAAAACCTCCATCGGAACGTGCCAAAGAGCCAGCGAAATCCAAGACTCCCGTTCCCGCTCCCAGGACTCAGCTGAGCCCCGTGTCTGTGCCCAAACCCGCTCCGAGGAAAGTTTCCTCCCCCGAGGCGGCGCCCGAAACCGTTCCCGTGGTTGTAATGAGGGAGAAGAAGAAGCCTCGACCGGCTGAGGTGAGAAAATCCTTTGTTGAGACAGTTGAGGAGATTCCGTTTGCGGATGATGTAGAGGAGGCTTACGATGAGCGGACGCCTGCAAAAAGCACGAAGGAGCATTATAATCCACCGCCCAGCAAGCCCTGCAAACCTCCACTACATTTGGCTCTAGCAATGGAAAACGGGAAGCCGAATATCCCCATCAACCCAGTTTCCAAGATCCAAAGGGCAACGCAGTTTTCTCCAGAAGCCAAAGAGATCGCCAAGGAGAGAATTATGGCAAGAGAAAAGTCGGTGAAGAGCCAGGCTCTAAAAGATGCCATGGCCAAGCAGCTCAGCAAAATGAAAGAATCTGACACAGACAAGGGTGCCTCACCCAAAGTGGCCTGGGGCGCAACCCCAGATTCGGCCGGGAAAACAAAAAAGTCCGCCACGTCTCCAAAAACGTCCGCTGTGAAAGCGTTGGAGTCGAAGAAGGCCGATGCCGCGCCCGAGCGCTTCTTCAGCAGCAACAAGAGTCTGGACAGCTCCGTGGCCTCCTCAGATGGCTCAACTCTGAGTAAAAGCAAGAAGCGAAGCTCCCTCTTCTCGCCTCGCAAGAACAAGAAAGAGAAGAAGGCCAAGAATGACAGCAGCAGAAACTCGGGCACAGAGGAGACGCCGCCCAAACACAAGTCGCTGTGGAAAGCGGTCTTTTCAGGGTACAAGAAGGACAAGAAGAAGAAGGACAATAAGTCGTGTCCAAGCACTCCGTCGTCCAGCTCCACCACTCAGGACTCTGGGAAGAAAAGAATGTCACCTCTTGGGAGGTCTTCAGGTACGATCTGCAACATGCTTCTGTGAGTAGGAAGTCTGGAAAATAAGAAGTTTATGTTTTCKCTAAATCTCTTCAACAGACTTGAAATTACGCAGAAACTTGAGCGTGTCGGAGGACTCGGACCTGTCGTGTGACGACGTTCTGGAGAGGTCATCCCAGAAATCAAAGGCCGATGTGAGTAAAGGGCATAAAASAGACAAACAACTGTTTTTGTTTTTAGAAATTTAAACATGCATTGCTAAAAACTAAATTCTTTTAATCTGAAAAACATTCAATGAGAACCAGCTTCTCAGGACAGCAACTTTGAAAATATTGAACTTTTTAAACATTTACAGCTTTTAAAATCTGTGTATGGTTCATTCTGTTTTTTTTTTTTTTTTTT